CGCCCCCCCCCCCCCAGTCATCCCCCCCCCCCTGATCATTGAGCCTCCCTCGACTCCAACTTCGCTCCCTCCATCATCACCTCCATTTCAGGACTTCTAGATATGCCACTGTGTGTTAATATTACCTCATGAGAGGAAAACAGATTTTTAAAAGTCAGTTAAAATTACCTCAAAGAAGAAGACACCTCAACTTGTAAGACCAAACATTACCACATAACTTATAGGGATACATCTTCTCAAAGGAGAGGTATTAGAGAACTTTTGGTTTGCAGATTCACTCATCCGTGACCGTTCTACAGTGTGTTTTCTGCACAAAGGCGATTCGGACCAAACTGTGTTCTAGAATTCAGGTGACAACAAGAACTTAACGTTCTCGCATGTGACAATGACTTTCCAATGACGTCATTACGTTTTAGGTCCTACAGTTGCCATGCAATCGAAAGCTCTCTGTTGTTACCTAGTAAGCAATTAGTAGAGCTGTGCGTAGTACACTATAGGAAAATTATTATATGAAGGTTAGATTTAATGCTTGAAATCTTTCATGCATGTGCGTTGGTATGTCTGCGATGCTGACATCATCAAATTCGTCGAAAAGTGTGTAAACAAGCAAACTTGAATTTCTAAATACCTGCTGGTTATGAATGTCTGCATACATGTAGTATTGGTCATGTAGTTGTGCCCTATTGCGTGAAAACATTTTTGGACAAATATTAAAGTTAAAAAAAAAATATTTATATGCAAAAACACTATTGCCTACAGTATCTGTATTTTTTTCTTTAATGTTGATTTATTAGCCCTTTCCAGATTAGAAAATAAAATCTTGAATCTAATTTTTACTTATTATCAGGTACAATGCCTTTTATTTTATGTTATTTGTTAACTCAATAATGACATGGCTCTATACTAATTTCTTTCATTCAGAACTGGACAGAAGTTGACAATTGGCGAGGAAAAAAAACATTCCACTGGAAATGGTAAGCTACGGTATATGCAGCATGTTAAAATATATTAATAAGTTGTTGAATCAAGCACGTATAAATGTTTATTATTATTATATTGTTGAGTATTAGTACAACATCCATGATTCATTTATGTGTCTTGAATAAGCAGAACTGAATTAGTGCGATTTGTGTCTTATTAGAAGTTAATTAGCCTTTTTGATCATTCTTAGTAAGCGTTTAATTTAACTATTGTAGAAGTATCAATGTTTTTGCCCTACCATACCTGTTATACTGAATACTCAGTACGTTCCCAAATACTTGCAAAAACAATTTTTAAAGTGATTCGTGTGGGAATCAAACTAACAAGCTCCAGATATCTTGCCTGGGTATCATAACCACTAGACTACCGAGCTTGCGCTTAGTGACTTAGTGACTTTACCTACAGGGGCAAGGCACTTTACCTACAGGGGCAAGGCATCTTAGTTACAGGGGCAAGAGACTGTACCTACAGGGAAAAGGCACCTTAGCTACAAGGACAAGGGACTTTACCTACAGGGGCAAGGCACTTTGCCTACAGGGGCAATGCACCTTAGGGGCAAGGGACTTTACTCACAGGGGCAAGGCACCTTACATACAGTGGAAAAGCACTTTACGTAAAGGGACAAGGTACTTTACCTACAGTTGGTTGCCTTTTCTACTGGGAGTATTAAGAAGATACATGGTTGGCTCAAATGACAGCTGATTACTAGCAACAGTAATATGGAATTGACCCCCAGGGAACTGAGTATATTTTCCATAGCTGTTTGATCCAATGACAGGGAATTAATGTATAAGACCTTGTGGGCATGATGTGCGTATTATTATGGTAAGTGCTTTGACACTCAGTATAAAGCTTAATAACAGTTATGTATGTACTTAGATTAATACAATTCACTCGAGATGTGGACTACCTGTTACAGTAACTTGCTTCTTCCCTAAGGGTCTCTTCGTGTCTGAGCTACCCAGTAAACCGGTACAGCTATTCTCCTCTGTCCACAGCAGGGGCCAAATATACCCCCTTACTCGTCTAGAGTATCTTCATCATCATCATCATCATCATCATCATCATCATCATCGTTATATGTAAAACAATCAGTCTCCAAGAAAAGCTTTTCAGTTAAACTGAAAACATATTTTATATCTACCTACTTGATTTAAATTTTATTCTGAGACATCTTGTTTAACTCGTACTAGTGTCAGAAGACGTTTGTATCCTTTTATTACTTTTTAAAATGCTTTTATTTACTCATATGTTTGTTTATTTATTTAGGTATTTATTTATTTTTAATTTTTTTAATCATTTTTTGTTTTTTGTGGTTTTTTGGTCATCTGGTCTAGGCATGCCTACCACAAGCTTTTGTTTTTTGGTTATGCCTTTTTTCAATATCTTTAATACCTTGCTCTACATTGTTCTGTATTTCAATTTGAAGAAAATAAATGTTGCTTTGATTGATTGATTGATTGATTGATTGATCATCATCATATTTTAAAAATATTTATAGGTATGCGAAGATTCCGTCAGGATGCAGCGGCAAATAACAAAAATGCCAGGAATTGGGGAGACCTAGGCAGGAATCCTCATCCAGAACAACCGTCACAAAGCTCTGCAAGGGGATCCTGGCCACAGCATCAGAACTACCAACCACACCAGCCTCACCATATGTCATCGTATCAGCAATACTCTCAGTATCGGCAGACATCTCCATATCATCAGCATCCCGCATTACCAATCAACGTGCCACCACCACCTTATGGACAGATTATCCCACCTAACGTGCCATTCCCACCACCCGCAGCTCCTGCACCCCCAGCTTCTTTCCAGCATTGTCCTCCCACCGTGCCACCGTATATAGACACATCTAAGCCACCACCATCAATGTGGAATTCTCAGACACCATATAGTTACTCTGGACAGCCAAGATTTGGTAGTGATACTAATAACCACGCCATGGATATGTTGTCTTTTCTGATGAATGTGCCACCACCACCCCCTCCAACTTGAGAGTACAAAGAACGGCCTTCCTGTCTGAGGACTTGTGATCAGTACCAACTTTGTTATGAAGAAAAAAAGCCTGCCCCGGCTCAGCAATCCAGGACCAATCAAAGTAGCTTTAAGAAGAGGAAAACCTTGGCCCTATAAGATTTTTTAATAAATAAATGAATAAATAAATGAATTGTATACCTACATTCAATTGACTAAGTTTAGGGCCAATAGCAATCTTCATTAATGCCTTGGTGGAAATAGATGCAATTGGTGAAATTGAATTATGTGATCAACATCATTTTACTTGAAAATAATACTACTTGTCACCTGTTGTACATACATATCCAGTGTATTGCATTTTAAAATAAGTGTTATGACATGGGTTTTGTATGAGATATTGTAATATCTCAAGAGAGACTTTCTTGGCATGCCTTTTACATCAAGTATGTGTTGTATATTTCATTTTATTCTTATGACTTTTGTTTTTTTCTGTTAAAGCATCGATATCTAGAATTCTTGTTATGTAGTGAAAATACATCTGGTTTTTTAGACTCAGGCCTATCATTTACAACTACCATATACAGTAGTCGCATATACCCCTGTAAGGTGATCCACATACAAGAAGTCCCCCCCTCCCCCAGTAAATTTAGAAAATTTTTTTATGATTTTTGTATGTCGGATGTATAAGATGACCCCCCTATATCATCGTTGGTATTGCTACTTTTTGCTGCTCTATATGGCTTTGATACTGCATCTAGCTAGCTAAAAATGGAGGCAATTGTAGTGGTAATCTTCCAATCTTCTTTAAATCGTAATAGACGATCCGCACATATTACGAACATGATTTAAGAGTAACAGATATGTATGTGTTGCCCATTTAAGACAACTTCCTATTTTTTGATCATAATTTGCTAATTTAAGCCTCGACTTAATACGTGAGAATATGCGATATAAAGATGATCTTGTTTGGCTTTAGTGCTCAGTCAATTCTCGTTCAAACAGAAAACCACAGCATGCAAATAGTGCAACTTGGAAGCTCTATTGTCAAGTGATATTAATTAAGTTTAACTATCTCTAAACATTTTAAAAGAATTACTGCTCTGCTAAACTATGTCATTTATAGTGTAGGATAAAAATACATCATATTATTTCGCTGTTCCTTTATTCGGTACTGTTATTATTTCAGTATCTATTTGTTATTAGAGTGTGTTGAAAATGATGTTGCTTCATTAGTTGTGTTTTCCGTCATTTAGGGGCTGTTAATGCGGGGAAAAAATAAACGACCTTAGGCGTTTATTCCAAATGAGGCTCTGGGGGGAGGCGTTTATTTGAGGGAGGCATTTGTTCCAAATGAGGCTCTGGATGTGTCTTTTATTCAAATCAGGACGTTTAATCCAATAAATACGGTACTGTATATATGTTTCATAGATTACTTTATTGGCTAATACAGTAAATGTTTTCGTCTCATTACAATATTTTATTGCTAATTGATTTATGTTTGTGGGCAGTAAAGAACGAGGAATTGTATGACCAATATAGCCACTGTTTGCTTCCTAGAAAATTGTTTGAATGCTTGTTGAACTAGTGATACCATATCAGTAAACCTAATGCATTTGTATTAAGTGATCAACTCATTAAGTATTAGCCACTTACCCAGTTCCATTAAAAATCAGGGGTGGATCCAGAGAGTCCGCAAGTGGGCCTCTGATTGAGAGACAACACTACCTTATTGGGTCCATTCCCCCAGGGAAATTTTTGTTTTCTAGATGCCTGGAAATAGCCTGAGAGGCATTTTGGGTTATCAATAATTTCTTTTTCTTCCTTTCGTTTTCTTTCGTTTTTACGTTTTCTTGCTATTTGAGACAGTACCCTTGTAAATTGAATCCTTGTATATTGACCACGAGGGCTAATTGCTTACCATGGAGGTAAACGTTCTCCATCAATCTTTTATAAAACAGCTACTGTTTATAAAATTCTTTAATAATAATATGAATTTATATAGCGCATTTTTAGAATGCTGTTTAATACGCTTTACATAAATATACACGTTTAATACAATATTCCATGTAATGAGCCTATTTTTAATTATTTGTTTGTGGCCCGTGAATACTTGTAAATTGAATCCTTGTAAATTGATCACGAGGGCTTTGTTTACCATGGAGGTAAACGTTCTTCATCAATCTGTTATAAAACAGCTACTGTTTATAAAATTCCTTAATGATGACAAACAGTACAGTACTGTATTCCATGTAATGAGCCTATTTTTAATTATTTATTTGTGGCCTGTGAAGCCTTGAGCAGAATAATAGTTTTCATACGTCAATCAGGCAGGGTGTTGAAACCTAACGTAAACAAGTGTCCTTTGTTTTTTTTGAACAACACAATGGACTTATACACGTGCTTCTTTTGCAACATAAATGTAATAAATTAAGACCCAACAAAAATTGCACAAATTAACACATGCTGAAAATGTACTGAAAATATGATGTCAGTAATCAGGGGTGGATCTAGAGCTGGGGAGGGGGGGGTGGGGGGGGGGGGGGGCGCCCCGAAAGTGGAGTTCCGTGGGCATGCCCCCGCGAAATGTTTTGGGCGATCAATTTCTTCTTTTTCTTTTTTTTTTCTTTTTTTTTGACTTTCCTAAAAGGGGTGGGGGAAGGGACCGGACTGATGGTGGGCTTCCTATGTGAAAAGCAATGTTTTGTAGGTAATTTGTTTACTAACAACAGCCAGTGAAAAAAAAGGATGGTCACGTGTTGTCATTGAGGCGTTTGTATTACAAGACTGGTTATTTTTTGCCAAGAAGTTACCATTATTCATTATTCTCAGTGACGGATTAAAGTGGGGGCCGCCTGGGCTAAATTTTTCAACATTATAAGGAAAAGTAGAGAAAAAAAGAAAATTATATTCAAATCAAAGTCCGAGAGTGCCATCTAGAGGCGCCATAATCATAAATTTTCTTTTCTCAACCCCAACCAAGGTGGGGCTGTGGTGGTCTACACAAATCTGTGAAAATCCCTCTCTGGGCCCCCTCTACTTTGAATTCCTGGATCCGCCACAGATTCTCGTAAAATGTTGATGTTGTGAAGTGGATGGTCATAAATGTGATACATTTTTGCCTCTATGATCTCCCTCAAGTTCTTGACTCGATTCTGTTACTTCGCAGCTTACACCATCTGATTTAGGCCTAGTGTTTCGAGGATATTTTTATTTTCAGCTTGAGTAGGCCTACCACTGTTTGGATTACACTTTATAGAAGATGAAAAGGGCATCATTACTTATGTAATATACATTTGTTGGCCTTTTCAGTAAACTTTAGATGAACTTGTTCTTTTCGTACTGACGCATGTCTGTTTGCTTGCTTCATGTGTAACGTCACAGGAAATAATTAGGATGGTCGCTGCCACATGAAACAACGTTCCTCTTTCCAGTTATACTACTGAGGCATATGCTTTGCCTATCCACTATTGTTTTTAATGAACATCCGTTTAAGCCTAAGCACCGATAAAACATAATAAACACATAGCTTGTATTCCACTATTTGCATTCACACCTGGGCTGTGTATATAAATTGCCTTGGTTTAGCTCTATAATCATTAGTGGTCGTGGGACTAGTTTGGGCCCTACCTAAGCTGGTCGAACGTTTCGTTTGGGTCTATACCCTAGCTGCACTGATGAGGCCTTATTGGGATTCCTTCCAGTGGATGCTTAGTTTATTTTGTCATTCTGATCGGATTTTCTCTACTGTTCCGTTTTAATTTTAAATAGTTTTGCATTATGTGGCCGTTTGCTGTTTTATGGATTTTCCCATTTGCCTTTCAAAATTTATATAT